TAAGGAGAAGGCAAGGGAAGAGGAAAGATTAGCAAGGGAAAAAGAAGCCGAAGAACGGAGGAAACTGAGGGAGAAGGAATATGAGAGTAGGAGGAGTGGTTCAGGTGATAGAGATCGGTATCATGATCGAGATAGAGAAAGGGAGCGGGACAGGCACCGAGATCGTGAAAGGTCAAGGGAGTGGAATGGTAGGGGTAGTAGAGATGACTGGAGGACGAAGAATGGAAGGGATGGTGGCAGGGATAGGCACCGTGATCGAAGCAGGTCATGCTCCCCTGTTAGGCATGGTCGCAGGAGGTCACCTAGAAGTCCGGTTCGCCCATATTAGAGGATTATGTTCATAGATATCTGAGTTTAAAATTATATGAGGTAGACTTTTTAATCTCAAAGTTTCATGAACATGTGCTTTTGGAGACTCATGTTAAATGTCATCATGGGTAAAAAATTTCTTGTCATCTCACAGCTTTATTGAGAGTTTACCTCCCTTTCGTCAAATATTATTAGAGGAGAAAAGGGTTGAGGTAGGTATTACTTAATGCTGTTGTAACTATTTTGTGTTCTTTTTGGACTTTATTTGAACAAAAATTTTATGCCTTTGTCTCTGGAACATTGATTCATAGTCTAGTATCTGTCTCCTATCTTTGATCATTGATGTTCTCATGTACTCAAGAGTAAAGATTCAAAATATATACTTGAGTGACACTGCTGCTGAGACCGATGATGGTTTAGTGTCTCAATCTCAAGGTAACAAATAAATCTTGTTTTCTAACATGACTTGCGCCAATAGGTTGCCTTTGCCTTACTGTAGATTTTTTTTTTTTTGGGGTGGAGGGATTGAAGCTGGATAATTTTTGTTGGCAACTGCTTCTTGGTTGACTAGACAGGGAAAGAAATTTGGGAATCCCAAGTTGTAGTGTTATTAACCAAGCCCCATTTTAATTGATCTTGCATTTCAGTTTTAGCATGTTGATGATCTAGTAGGCAGGAAAGTTCATTTGCCCACTCAATTTGGCCTGTACCATTTTCATATGGAACGCGAAGTGACTGGGCTGTGTGAGGGCTTTGCAAATAAATAGGCAGTCTTTGAGGCCAGATACATGTGTTTTTGGGTGTTTATCCGACCTGGAAACCTCAAGAATTCAATTTCATGGAAAACTGATTTTTTGTCTTACAGTGTAGTGGGTACCTTTGGAGTAAAAAATTCAAAAGCCAGGATGGGCCAACAATAGGTAACTGCCCCTTACATAGTTTCTTTTAGAGCCAAGATGTCTCTAAAACTCAATTACTTGGAACAGTTCTTTCTATGCTTGTCTGGAAATCTACTTCAGCGGACTGGAACTGGATGCATTATAACTTGAAATGGTGCGGGAACTGGAGGTAACTTGAACCTATATGAAATTTCAAATAGCATATTTCTGTGACCAGCTTGCAGGAAAGACATGTAATCTGTTGAACTTGGATGGCAGAGTTGCCGCTGGTAAGTAAGTTCCTGATGTAATCTGTGGATGGTTTGTGCATGGGAATATTAAAATAGGTTGGTGCCATCTTATTGGAGGTTCAAATTGAACAATGCCGAATTGGAAAATATGTAATGACAATTTGCAGCTTTAATGTGCGACCTTGCATTGTTGAAATAAACTAATGTTGTGTCTAGATTTCATTTGATTTGTCAATCTGATGCTATCTTATCAAAAGGTTTAGGATCACACAGTCCTGGTACAACTTGTTGCTTGAGCTTGTCCATGCTAAATCGAGGATTTTTTTTTTCTCGTTTGAATTGGAAAACTGAAGGATGCAAGTTAGATATCATTCGGCACATGCCAGCAGCTGCCTCTTTTGTCAGAGATATCATCTTTTGTTAAACTCCCTCGTTGTGGAAGGTGTGATAAACTGCTGATGGTTGGTCCTCGTCGTGGAAGGTGTGATAAACTGCTGATGGTTGCATGCTCTAGACCTTGCTGGTACAACGCTATTGATTTGTCTTCTCGTTGAGGGCTGTGGCAACCCCGCAGAACTGCAAAAAGGTGGACTTGAAAGTGAGCTACAAATTTATTTTACACCTCTTACAGGTCTGAAAGGAATCCACACTTCTGCTATAGCCAAAATTGTGAAAAATGCAATTGACATTTAATTTGCACAAATAATTGTCAGCTCCATTGTGTTGGGTATAACCTACTTGGTGCCATACAAATAGGGTTCTACCCCACTTCTCACCACAAAATCCAGTGTAACAGCTAAATCATCTTCATTGTTGCTATTATGCAACCGACAATAGCCAATGGAAGCTTCGTCGTACACAAGGCAAAGAGGGCCTACAATCAGACAGCATACAAAAACACTAGTAACACAAGAAAACTATTGGTAATGAGGAGCAAAACGAGGTCCAACCATTTGTGTACCTTTACGGAATTTTATCCATGAAGGACAAAATCTGTGGCTCTCGTTTTAGGTTTTTCATTGTTCTCAAACACTGCTAAGAATAGCAAATGAATAACTTTCCATCGAACTCATCACCATCACCAACAGCAACAATTACCATTTAGCATCTCAGGGCTTCAACCATGAATGACACAGTGGACAAGCTGGTCATCTTTCTAGCAAAGAGAGATGGCATAGATAAGCTTGTCAAGACTTTCCAGTATGTGTCCAAGCTTGTTCACTGGCATGTAGAAGCCACCCACCCAGACGCTGCAATGAGATTCAAGCAATGGGAAGTTGCATCTGGCCTTAGCCGGAAAGCCTTCAGAACTGGCAGGTTTCTCACTGGCTTCAATGCTCTAAGAAGAGGCCCTGGCGCAACCCCGACGTTAAAGGTCTTAGCTGTTCTTGCTAATGCAGGAGAAATGGTCTATTTCTTTTTTGACCATTTTCTCTGGTTATCAAGAATTGGAACTTTGGATGCAAAGTTGGCAAGAAGGATGAGCTTCATTTCAGCATTGGGCGAGTCTTTTGGCTACATATTTTTCATTATAGCTGATTTTATTATAATGAAAGAAGGGCTAGAAACAGAGAGAAGGCTCTTAATCTCTTCAAAAGAAGATGGTTCAGAAGATGCGAAAGAGAGCACGAGGAAGATCAAAGCAGAGAGAGTGATGAGGTTGATGGCAGTGGCAGCTAACGTTGCAGATTTGATTATTGCTCTGGCAGATATTGAGCCCAACCCATTTTGCAACCATGCTGTTACTCTTGGTATTAGTGGGTTGGTGTCTGCTTGGGCTGGTTGGTACAGAAACTGGCCCTCGTAGTCATAGTTCCATTGCCTATCAACCAAGTCTTGAAAATGGGGGCAAAACAATCTCACTTGTGTTGCAGCTGCGATGGAAATTATACTCTTTTACGTGAAAAAAATCTTGCAACTAAGTGTTCCATTTTATCATCTTTTTGGTTTATGGCTTTACGTGGAGAGTTTCTCAAGGCGTAGCAGCCAAGTCTTCAATATGGATGGAATTTTTTTTTTTTTTTGTAGGCTTTGGAAATAATACTCTGCAATTATCATATTGGACTAAAATGATTTATGTCATAGAATTTGAGCCTTTGGTGAGTTGAACCGAATCAAATTGACAAAATTACCATGCAAATAACAAAGCAATCGGGTTTGATTTAAAAAACAAACATCATACGATAATTGTGCTTCTAGAAATCATTTGGAAATGTGTTTCTTAGAAATTTAATTTTTTATATTTTTTTATTATTTGATGTATTTGAAAATAAATTTTAAAAAATAAAAAAATATTATTTTAAATAAAAAACACTTCAAATATCCAACCCCGGTATTCCAGCTTTGTTATTTCCATGGTGTTGTGAACTCTATATATATATATATTCCCTCCTCTCTTCATTTGTGCTTCGAAATAAAGAGTTAATTAAGTATAAACTACGAAAAGTAGTTTTTTGACATAAAATTAAATTATAAAGCAGTTGTTGTTTTTTTGTCAATAATTTAAGATAAAATGAGTTTAAGCTGGAAAAAGTTAACCGAATCAACATTTGTTTACAAGAAGAGAGGTAGTGTTATATGTGGGTCACATAAGACTAACCCATCACCAATTTGAATAATTTAGAAAGAGTTTTTTTTTATGTGATTGTATCTATATTTGAAGCAGACAGAAAAAAATTATTTGATTAGTAGCCGAACATGATGCGTTATTTGTGCGATCTAGTATAATTTAAGTTCAAAAATACAGATTCTATCAAAAGCAGCATCAAGCTGCTTTTTCTTTTTTTACTGTTTTTATAATGGAGAGTTTCATTTTTATTATTAACGTGAATAATAAAAAATATTTTTATTGATTATGATGGGATTGGATCCGGTCTAAACTTAAATACATTAAATTATGTTTGATTTAGTAAAAAAATTTATTTTTATTTTTATTTTTAAATATATTTTATTAAAAAAATAGTGTTTAACATTATTTAAAAACACCATATAAGTTAAAAGAAGATTACGTGATGATATAATATTTATATAATTTGATCATAATTCTAATTTTATTTCAGATGATATTTTATTTAATGTTATTGCAGGTTTAGAAAACCATTATCTTTGTCGGATAAATTTCATACACGATGAAAATATAAATAGTTTAATAAAATAATAAAATAATATTTTATATAAAATATTAATTATTTAATGATGTAATAGCAATAGATAAATCTATAATATTTAAATTAAAATTCATCAATATTAATATATATAAAGTAATTAAACAGCTTTTTTCAAATCACAGCTACAAAAATTATTACAGCAACAAAGATATTTTATTCTCAATTAAGTCATTAGCTTTGTTCAGGTAATTTTCACAAATTTAAAATTGAAAAAATCTTCAAGTTATATGAGAAAAAAGATACCATTTATTTTACTAAAAAAACAAATGGGGGCAGTTAATTTTAACTCGCAACATGTTCTCCTGGTAGGTACCCAAATGCATTTGGGCCAGGAAAGGGTGAGTCAAAGCCTGGTAAGAAGTCGTAGTCTTTGGAGAAACCGAATGCCTGCTCCACAATCTACTTTCAAGTGTAATAAAGATGTACGAAGTTGACCTCGTAATCTCCTTCCACTAAACAACCCCCCCACCTATTCCTTCTTGATCGGAATGTAATCTAGCATTTCCAATCACTTTTAATTATTAAAATTAGATTAAATAATCTCTTTTGCAGATTTGGTTTTCTATTTTCACCGCTTTACCACAGATATTTCTTGCAGAGTGGTGTTTACTTCTAATCCCCCGAGTCTAGCATTAATCAAGATTAACTTTCTTTTATATATATAAAATAAACACTAGAGTTTGGCTTTTTTCTTGTTGGGTTTCTTTAATTTTGCATTTCTCAGAGGCTAAACAGAGGATTTCTGGGTTTTGTGAGATCAGATGGCTGAAGGAACCGCTTCAAGATATGTGAAGTTAACCAAAGAACAAGGTGATGTAGAGGAGATTAAGCCCGGTGAGCTAAATCAGCCCATTGAGGTTCCTCAGGTCTCAATCTTTCTCTCTTTAGTATCAGATTTTGTCACCTTTTGTTTCAAGTCTTGAAATTTAAGTAATTTCAATGTTTTACTGTCAGATGGGATGGTTTCAAAGTTTAGAAGGGTTTAGCTTTTCAACTTTGATCTGATATTGCTGTATCTGCTTCTCTTGGGTCAAATTGTAAATGTGTTTCTTTGTGGGATTTGAATGTCGAGGCTAAATTTGTGTAAAGATGGGATCTTTTGGATCACTGATTTTTTTTCTGTGGGGCAGTTGACCGTTCGTAAGTGTAATGAATGTGGGCAACCTCTACCTGAAAACTTTGAGCCTCCAGGAGATGAGCCTTGGACTACTGGAATTTTTGGATGTGCTGATGACACCGAAAGCTGTAAGTACGTTTATAATTTAGTATCATATAGTTTTCAAATCAATGTTATATGATGTGGGGGTATCACATTTGGATACGTTTCAGAACTTGTTGGAGATGAATTGCTTCCGTTATTGTGATCTATGTAGTGCTTTGCTGCTTTTCATTTTATTAAGTTAGAATTTTTGACATGGACATAAGTACTTAGCTGATCTGCTCTGCCCTTAATTCGGACGTATCGAACTATCTGGTAATTATCCATTGCATGAGATAAATGGCTTTGGCCAAATCTGAGTTTGTGCTCATTGCACGTGCTTGAAAGGAGAGTCATGGCAGTTTCTCTTGTAGCTCCTGCCCTAGACAGATTAGGAGCATTACTTTCTTGACATAGTTGTGCCCCTGAGCTAAGTAAGCATCTGTTGGAAACATAATGTCATCCGATAAAAAATTGTTTATTTGCCCATATGGTAGCCCCATTTAGGATTTGAATGCAGGCAGTTCACTTGTTTCTGTTTTTTTGTTGTTTCCCAAATCAATGATTTCTTTTTTTTTGTTTTCTTTTCTTCTCATTATTCTCAAATCCTTGTGGATCTAAAATGAAATTCTTAGACCGTTTCTATTACAACTTGTCTCCTGGTGTTATTTCCCCATCGCTGTTAGAGTTTTATGAAATCTACAAGTCTTCAAACTCAACTGATTTAAACATATAATCCTTTGTTTTCCTAGTTTTTCTTTTTCTTTCGTGTATTTATTTTTGAAACAAAATATAACTGGATGTCGCAAGTGAAGTTTTATGGACGGAGTTAAATTTGTTTCTCATAATTAATAATGTGATGATGACATAAACAGTACAATGCATATGAAGACAAAGGGTATTCTCTAGAAATCAATTTATTGACTTGATTCAAAATAGTTTGGACAAAGTTCCTATTTAAAGGAGAATACAAGGCATGAAATCAGGAGCCAAATCAAATCATATATCCTAATTAAGAGTGACCCCTAATTTATAATCTATTTCCTAATTTATAGACAAATTAATATAGGATTTTCTATTTTACAACAGCATATTATTTTAGAATCCACACCATGCTTGGGAAGGTGTGGTAGGCTGTCACTAGTTTTTTTTATTCCTTGGTTAAGTGAATGTTATTGTCTTTTTGGCAACTTTATGCAATTCATTCTCTTGTATTTCATTGTTTCTTCAACAAGTATTGGTACCATTTTTTGAGTGTTTTAGTTAGTTATTTATGTAAGGCATGATGAATTAATACTTCTTATTTTACACCTTGAAAGGCTGGACAGGAGTGTTTTGCCCTTGTGTTCTATTCGGTAGAAATATTGAGAGCTTGAGAGATGATACTCCCTGGACCACCCCGTGCATTTGTCATGCTGTTTGTGTTGAAGGTGGGATTGCACTGGCTGCAGCAACAGCAGTTTTCCATGGCATTGACCCAAGGACATCATTTCTCATTTGTGAGGGTTTACTTTTTGCATGGTGGATGTGTGGCGTATACACTGGTCTTGTTAGGCAGTCTTTACAGAAGAAATATCATCTCAAGGTGATCTCAATTTTGCAATTTTAATATTCATTGTATGAATTGAAGACGACACTGATCCTTGAACACTTTGTTAAGGTTAAAAAAAGCATCACATGCACATTTTGTAGATGCAGACAAGATGACTGCTTCCGAATTCCTTTTGTATGTCATGAGAGCACTAATAATTATAAGAGTTGTAACATATGGAATACTAGAGGTGTGCATAATTCGGTACCATGAACCATTACCCAAGAACTTCAACCTGAACATGAGAATCAGGTTGATACTTTTGTGAACCTGAACCTGACAATCAAAGAATCTATAGGTTTGATTAACCTAAGTTCAAATTTGGTTTTCAGGCTAACCTAAACTTGTCCTAAACATATGCAATCCTTCAAATAAGAACTTAAAAATCGTAAGTCATATTTTAAGCTTTTATAATCCAGCAGTTAGGATTGGATATCATGTTCTTGGGTTATTTTGAACACCCCTGTGGAATACTGTAATTAGTGATATTATTCCTTGAATGACTTGATATTTTAATGTGCTCTCTTATGGTGAGAATTACTTTTTCAGTGCATAAATTTGTTTAGTTCGTGATAAAGTGTGCTGTTGGAAGTTGATGTCAATTAACAAAGCATAATGAAATGGTAGTTATATAATTCTGTAAA